TTTGCCAACATGCAACTCAACTACTACAGAGTCATCTACTCCTGACTCAAGCATTGCTCTATACAGGAATATAATAGGATTATTGGTTGCTGTGATAGTGGTCATGGTGCTAGTTTGTTGTTGTGGGTTTCTGATGATTCTAGTGTACAAGAGATGCAGTAAAATAAAGTCCCATGAAATAGCAACATTGGAAAGTAAACACATAATAATTATTATTATAATAAAAATATAAATATAATTTTTAATGCAACGATTATGATTCTGTACCATTCATTATATAGTGAGGAATCTTGACAGATCATCATCTGCATATGACTATCAGCCTAACCAAGTAATTATAATATTCTATTTAAAAATAATTTATAAAAATATTTATTTTAATTGTAGCTTCAAAATCCTACTCTTCATTCATACACAACAATGGAGTCTCAGTTCGGCTTAAGAAACTCTGGACGATATGAAAGTCTTAAAAAAGTCGAACAACCTTACCTGCAACCACCTTCCATTGGGACAGTTTCTTCACCACAAGGATATTATGCAATGTATGAAACATTAACTGTAAGTGGAGAGTGTATTACATGCATGATACATGTATATTTACATGTACATGTATGCATTTAGAATAATGAAGGTGGGGATGAGTCGTATTGGGCACCAGCTAACGTAGAGCAAGAACTGTACAATCAGTTAGAACGCATTAAAGTAAAGAGGATACCATCGGTTGAAATAAAGTATGAAACTTACAAAATTTAACAATTTAACAATTATAAATTTTTGCTACACATCTTGATGAATATCAATGCTTTTATGATGCTTTGAAGATACTATTTTATTATCATTTATTTTTTAGAGTGTTGGAGTTGCTTGGTAGTGGTTACTTTGCTACAGTTAACAGAGCAATGTGGCTCAAACCAAACGGAGGAGAAGAAGAGGTTGCAGTGAAGATCCTCTCAGAAAAAGCCGACAATGAAGAGAAGATAAAATTCCTTCAAGAAGCAGCTCTCATGGGTCAATTTAAACACACTAACGTACTAACACTGCATGGAGTGATTAGTACAGATGCTAATGTAAGGCCTGAATGGGATAGTTACTTTTAATTTTATTTGATTGCATGTATTTGTTATGTGTAGGTTATGATTGTCACTGAGCTAATGAAAGGTGGTGATCTACATCACTGGCTCCTGAAAAGAAAAGTTGAAGAAGAAATAGCTCAAGAGCCTACAGCAACTCCAGGGATTTTACTTAATTTCTGTAGACAGATTTGTCTCGGGATGTGTTATCTATCGTCAAGGAACTTTGTACATCGTGATCTTGCAGCAAGGAATATACTAGTGACCCATGATAATATTTGTAAAGTAAGAGAGAGAGAGAGAGTAGGGGGAGAGAGAAAGTATAATAATTAATCCCATAATTGGTGAAAATCTATTGAGCGTATCAAATGAAGCTACTCACGTGTCTAATGCATTTAACAAGCCATAAAATATTCACATTGGTCATATGTAGGTGTCTGATTTTGGCATGTCCCGTGACTTGGATGAAGAAGAGGATTATTACTTAGCAGGAGAAGGATTACCCATTCCAGTCAAATGGACAGCACCTGAAGCAATTAAACAACGCAAGTATTCATCGGCATCCGATGTATGGAGCTATGGCTGTCTCATGTATGAGATATGGAGTCTTGGACATAAGCCATTTGCAGCATTGAAGAACAGTGAAGTATGTATAATGTACCTATATAGCTCTGAAATTTGCATGGTATGTACATTACCAGCCATTATTGATGAAACTATCTCGTGATTGTAGTTCATTTTTCTTTTAATTTTGTGATATGAACGATGTGAATTGTGATATGATTTTTTTAAAATTGTCATTTGAATGTCATATTTCGTGTAGACTTTAAAGACAATTACAACAGGCAAAAGGCTTGAACCTCCCCCAGGCTGTCCAAGAAGCATGTACGAGATAATGATAAAATGCTGGTATGAATCTTATACTTATAATGTACGTATTATCAGTAGAATTAACTTATAGGCATCCTGAATCAAAGAAGAGGCCAGCTTTTAATGATGTAATGCTGTTATTGTTAAAAGATGATTCCACATTGTTATTGATACCAGATGAAGATAGACTCACTCATTCTGAGGCTGGTCAGTTAGGTGCTCCTCTTGAAGCTGGAGATAAGCTATACACTGACCTGCAGTCAATGTATATTGATGATGCTTAAATGACTTTAAAAACCTATTGTAGTGTTTCTGTAGTCTCCTTGTATTAGTGTGTGTCACTGCATTGGATACAGTAGTAAAACTATATTTCAGATTTTGTTATAAATCTTTATGTCCTTTTTACAACATCAAATTTAACAAAAGTGGCTAAGTTGCAACATCTACTGAAATTAAATAGCTGCGTTTTTATTTAAATTCACAATAATAAGATTATGCATTATAATTTAGTCAATCATGATTACGTACAGTGTTTAGTACTTCATCTATTCATAAGTTTAATAGTTTCCTAAGTATGTCTGCTTCTTCAGCCATTTCTTCTTCTGTTCTATTTGTCCTTTTTTCAGCATCTATTCTCTCTAACTGTAAATAAAATAATAATAATAATAATAATAATAAAATTAATATTTAAAAAATAATAATTATTTAATACCACAAACATGGACAATAATTAATATTTTTATTAAAAAAAAAAATTTATTTTTATATTAATCAACTCAACTGCTTCATATACTTCATCATTCTGTTTGAAGTCACCAGTTCTTCTTGGGAGTATGTGTACATGTACATGTGGAACAGTCTGGCCAGCCTCTGGTCCATCCTGTACAATAAAAGCCAATTTATTATTATCATTCTAATACTTATATTGATGCCATTATCGTCTCATAATTTTAGGCATCTAATATGTGCTGATTTCTTTAAAAATCCCTGTACTATAGCCCATGGTTCTTTCCAAAAAATGGCTAAAAAATTACCCCCAATTTTAATTACATTTTCTGTTACATATTGATGTCCTTATGCTGTGTAGAAAGTTTGAGCTGATTCCGACTTAAATTTTTCAAGTTATGACCATTTGTTAAAATCGGCCAATTTCTGGAAAAATCCCTGTACTATAGCCCATGGTTTTTTGAAGAAAAATGGCTCCAAAATTACCCCCTATTTTTATTACATTTTCTGTTACATATTGATGTCCTTATCATGCTGTGTTGAGTTATTAATGAACAGGAAGTGGATGATGTCATTATGATGTTGTGGTTACTAACCCACAATAGCCTCACCAGTTTTAGCAGCATTTAAAGACAATGATAAAGTATTACACAGTATATTAGTTATTTAATGCATTACATTACATGCAATTTTTGGAGGAGCATTGAGCTCCATGATGATGATAATGATACTTAATGTCAATAATTAACCTCTGTATATTTTGAACACAATACTGATACGAATCAATACCGTAAACTATTGTTTGTATCAATAGAGGATATGCGTGCTAAGTATATTCATTGCAAAATAAATGTATTCATTGCATACCGTAATAACTTTCAAGAAAAAAAATTAGTTCGTTGGACGTCAACTTTCCATTGGCAGCAATGGAGAAAAGATAGAAAAAGGCTTGGTACCAGAAAACCGCTCTGTATTTCTTGATAGCAATCATTCAGGTGACTACTAGACCCCATTAGATCCTCAGGATGCTTTCTAAGCTTCCGAAAAAGGCCTCAAGAAGGTAGCAAGGCAAGAAAACGTGTTTTCCCCCATTGAACTCTTAATAAACTTGACGTCCAACATGGCGGCCAATTTACTGTGTGGGTTGGATATACGGTACTTAAAAGCTATGAATATACTTAGCACGCATATCCTCTATAAAATATCAATATATTGCCCACCACTACTGTCTATTTTTAACACAATTATGCATAACTTACTTAGTTTTATGTCTCTCCCAATCCACAACCCCATACCTGTATTGCAATAGTTAAACTTGTGGCATTGAAGTGTTGCTCTATCTTTGGTGCAATGAGATGAACGCATTGAAAAAGATCAGACACTTCCTCTTTTGTTAGATCCTGAAAACGTGACACTACACGAACACTAGACACTAGCACATCTATGCATGATGTTAAGTCAAAAATTAAAAAAATAGATTATTTAATATTACAATTAAAACTACAGTACTGTGTGGTTTTAAAATAGACCTACATATTGCTGTAATAAAAGGATACGGCCTGGAACAACTGGTCTTATGTTAGTGAAGGCAAAACTGAGTGGAGTCTGGTAGAAGACGAGCCTTGACTTGATCAGAAATTGACCAAATTTAAAAGAGCTGCTCATAATTAAAACCAGCCCCACCCATACGAGCCACGCCTATTATTTAACACCCACGCAGCCCACGTGATTAAAGTGGGCGTTGCTCGCCTTAAAAATCCATTTTTAAGAGTAGTTGTACCTTGTTTTGGGGGAATAGTAAGAATGCAGCAAGTAAAAGGTAAGTTTCTAGCAGTACCTTACATCATCTTTTAAGTATGCTTCTAGAATATACTCCGTCAGAAAGAAAAGGTCACTCAATGGTGAGGATTGGTGACCATCTTTACCTATGGGGTGGCTATCAACCTAGCCTCCCTTTTGCACACGACAGCGAGCAAAAAAGGACCATGTCCTCCCGGATTGAGGTGTATCACCTACCGACTGGCAGATGGGAGCAAAAACCCACCACTGGTAACCCTCCACTGGGTATCACGGGCTATGCAACTGCTGCCATTGGAAACGAAATCTTTTATTTTGGTGGCTACTGCAATCACGATGACTGTTATCATAATAGCTTGTACAGCCTGGATGTAGCCACCTTAAACTGGAGGGAGCTCTCTTTTACCGATACTCACCATGGTCCTATGATGAAGAGCCATTGTGGTATGATCGCGCTGCAACTGGATGACGGCGAAGACTATCTAGTGGTGATCGGTGGCGGGGGACCCCATCCCTCTACAAGACAGATGGACTCTCAATATAGCTGCGACGTACTTTCTGACCTGGAGCGAACGAATGAAGTCCATTACTTCTGTTGCAAATCAAGTTAGTTACTAGATTCAGTATACATTATAATAGTTTCATTGATCATTATGATGATGTATTGGATACACAACACTTTATTGATCGTCCTTGTATTGCATTATAAGCTACCGATAACAAGTATAAATAGATGCTGTTATGAATAAAATGTTTTTGTTGCTATATGCAGTAATTTGTATTGAGGCTGTATCATTTATTGTCCTGCCATCAATAATTGTATTAATTTTGATGGACATTGTGCTAATAATTGCATCAGTATTGTGTTAATATTTGAGCTATGTAGCATGAATAGCATTTATACTATTCACAATTGTTTCACTCTCCATACAGATGACTGGATTTCGCCGGCCATTACAGGAGACAGACCTCTCCCTTGCGATAGCTTTACTCTCAATTCTATTAGCAATGATACTGCTATACTGTTTGGTGGCAATGAACTAAACAATAAAGTGTACTACTGTCAATTTACAAGAGAATCAGCAGTAAGTTATACCTGAAGTATACCCTCTCAATATTACCTAATATAAGTATAAGTATAATATAAGTATAACCTCACTTTCTCTCTCTCTCTCTCCCCCCCCCCTCTGTTTCTAAGGAATTGTTTTGAATTTCCTAAGTAGTTGATATTTGATATCAGAGCATGAAAGTCTTTAGCTATCATTTGCTCACTGATGTGTTGCAATACATGACCTCTTAATTGCCCAATTCAACCCATATGCATATACATATATCACTGCCATGTTTCAGATTCCATTCATTCCTTAACATACACTGTTATTGGCATTAGGCATTTGGCAATTTGGCACAGGGTAGAAAGAGTACAAATATTGACCTTGTTTATTCCAATTTTATGGACAGCAACTGTTGTCTTAGGAAATATTTTTGGTCACTGGAATTTGTGTACCTTTGTTTATATATAACTTCATAATTGGAATTATCCTTAAATTTGAATTTCTTTTTAATTGTATTTTTTCACATGCATACAGTCTTGGAAACAGTTACATAATACTTCCATGGGTCAGTGGCCGATGGAAAGATCACATCACTGCTCTGCTCTTATAAAGAGCTCTGTAGCGGGACCACACCTACTAACTGTGGGCGGCAAAAACACGAGTGACTCCTGGCTTCTCGACGTTGATAAAAAGCAATGGAGTGAGGTATAAAATGACAATCCTGTTTGATGCTTAAAAATTAAATTTTTGATATTAATTAACGGCATAGCGTCAAAGCCAATTAATTGCAAGTATTTAATATAAATACTGTTAATCTTTATTGTAGGTTTCTCTGCCAAGGGAAGTTCACGAGAGAAGAGAACATTCTCTATGTACCTGGAGCTTGAGCCCAACCGTTCACTGGATAATAGAGTTTGGTGGGAAGAGAGAAGGACTGCTTGGGGCAGTACTGAATGATACGACAGTTATAGAACTCAGTAAGTAATAATTGTGTTTAAATAATAATAAAAATAATGTTTAAATAATAATAATAATATAATTATGTTTAAATAATAATAGTAATAATTGTGTTTACTGTTAGTCCAACATCGATAACCTAAAATAACTAATAATTACTCTCAATTACAATACGTAGGCATAAGTCCTTATAAAAATGATTTTCTAATTGGTACTTGTATTAATGTTTCAATACTCATAGCCGACTATTTGTAGCATGCATTTAATTTTAGAAAAAATGGTATGATATATCAGCTGTCTAGCACTGTAAACTGATAAGGAAATGCCATTAATGCTTATAAATTACCTCATGCAACTACACCATTGTATAGGCCAGGATATTTCATTATTGCATGCTTTGAATGAATGTCTTGATTACCCTCAGTATTAATGATATTTTTTTATATTTTTAAATTTCATTTGTGCAATAGTGCGAAAGAATGTTCATCACTAGTGATAGTGTATACATTTCCTTTGCAATGTTTTGAATTGTAATTTGAGTCATGATACAGTATCAGCGGTCTGCCTTCGTTCCCATGTCTACTGTAACTTGAAGCAAAATATGAGAATGACTTAAGCCCACTCAAAAGAGAATTTAATGGCGAAACCATACACCCACTCATTGTGGAATAGCCGATTCATTTATGCATATTGTAGTGCAGAATTTATATAGTATTGTATAATGGGTAAAGAGAAATCAGAATTTAATGGCGAGACTTTACACCCACTCATATTGTGAATAACTGATTCATATACTCGCTTATTGGTGTAGCATACAATATGTTGTAGTGTAGAGTTTTTGTAATATTGTATAATGGGTATATTTTATCTGGGTTTGGTGTCATTTTTTCCATTTTCATTTCTTGGTATTTTCCAAAATAAAAAGTGTTTGTCAATTCCAAGTATGAAGTGTACAAAATGGCAGCTCAGAACGAAAATAAACAAAATGAAAAGCCTATAATCCTTTTTAAAATACCCAGAAAAATAATACCTATTATGCAGCATATGCCTGCTCTTAAATTTCAATTTCTCTTGGGTCATTGTAAAAAGTGTTTGTCAATCTCAAGTGTACAAAATGGCAGCTCGATCAGAACAAAAATAAGCAAAACAAAACTTTATATTCCTTTTTAAAATACCCAGCAAAATAATGCCTACTATGCATCATATGCCTACTCTTAAATTTCAATTTCTCTTGGGTCATTGCACAACAGCTATTAGTGTCTGCTAACGTTTACATTTATCTCTTGATAGTTTATTCAACTGAAAAGGAGAAATGGTTCTCAAACGTCATACCGAGCGACCGATATCAAGAAAGACTGAGGGCAAGAGCTCTGAACGAAAACAACGTCAATGCCGAAGACGGAGGAAGCGAAGAGGAAGAAGGACCGACCTTTAAGCGGCTCTCTTGTCAAGCTCTGATAGAGGAATCTGTGGCAGAGAGAAGGAGAAAAATGCAGGAAGGACGTGTAGAGAAAAACTGTTGTCAAATCTTATAGTGTAAACACAGCCATCACTTGCCTTTATCTTAACTTGTGCAATTTCAATACGCAATTCCATCATTGTTGTAAATAAAATGATAATTGTGATTTTAAGGAATTCATTTTTAAGGGCACGCGTGTTTGCACGTGGGTAAGAAAACTCGGCCACGCCTTTTAAAGCGTATACGGAGTTAGGCGGAGATGGTGACGTGGATCACGTGGGTACACATCAGAGAAGGAGAGAGAGTGTGAGACAAAAACTTGTCAAAATGCCAAAGAAAGGGAAGAAAGGAACAGAGCAACGCGTCAAAGGAAACGTACAGGTACTAGAGCAGACATTTTGAGCCTTTTTACTCCTTTTTTGACCCATTTTATCCTGTTTCTCCTCCCTCTTTCTCTCTCCCTCCCTCTCTCTCCCTAGGCTGCCAGTAGTGGTCGCATGAGTGAGTTATTGAAAGGCGAAGGTTTCATTGGATTCGAGACACTTTCTGCCAGCCTGAGCGATGGTACGCCCCTAATAATTAAATAACATTGCAATAATAATAATAATTGTAATTATTGTATGTTCTTATGTAATTTTTAAATTCTGCTAATTAAAAGCACCTTAAAATTAGTACCAGTACTTTTTAATAAATTAGAGGCAAAAGATGATTTTAAATTTTAAAAATAATTATGACTATACATGTACATGTACATGTATATCAATTGATGTAATATGAATATTTTCTCTTTATCTTTCTCTTGTCAGGCAGTGTTGGTTTGGATGAGTCTTTGTTACGCGTTCACTCGCAATTTCAAGTAGTTTTAAAACAAATGGGAAAGAAAGATACAGTAACCAAAATAAAAGCAAGTCCTCTCTCTCTCCCTCCCCCTTACTCATGCTCTTTTTTATTTCATCTCCAGGCCCTACAGGAGTATATTTCACTTTGTGAACAGGAACCTGTGGAGGGGGTCACTTCCAGCCTCCAATTGTGGCCACTGATGTATGCAAAATTATCAACAGTACGTTATACATGTACATGTACATGTGTACATGTACATCTACATGTGTATCTACATTGTACATGTATATTCATTCATGCATATTAAACATGTACTACATGTACTTGTAAATATACATGTACATGCGAATATACATGTACATACGAATATACATGTACATACGAATATACATGTACATGCGAATATACATGTACATGCGAATATACATGTACATGCGAATATACATGTACATGCGAATATACATGTACATGCGAATATACATGTACATGCGAATATACATGTACATACGAATATACATGTACATACATGTGCCATTACATCTACATGATGCATCTACATATACTTTATGCATCTATATGTACATTGCAAATATACTCATTATACAGTACATGCAAATACACGTACATAGTACTTTTACATGTACATACATGTGTATCTACATTGTATATTCATTCATGCATACCGTAGATCAGGAAATTAGTGTGGTAGGAAATTTTTGCGGTTTAAAATTGTGCTGTGACTTAATTTTTACTAAATAAGACTGTGCCGTGTATTATTGAATGTGGCATGTAATTATATGGGTAATCTAATTTTTGCGAAATTCTAATCCAGTAAAATTTAAATCACAGTAAAAATTTCCAGATAGACGGTATTAAACATGTACTACATGTACTGTACATACGAATATACATGTACATTGTACATTGTAAATTTAGCTCATGCATGTGTTAATTTATGTAAGTGTATAATTTTTTGTAGAATTAAAAGTACTTAGCACTTTGAGTTAATTATAAACTAAAAATGTTTCACCAATAAACAGAATGAGATATGCAACCATAAAAACTAATTAAATTATTATTAAATTTAAATACTATATCTGTCTCTTTTTTTGAAGGACACCGATCGAAAAATACGAGAATTATCTCATGTAGCCCTTGGTAGGTGTGGCTCTAAAGTTGGGCGTGGCCTCGCACCTCACGTCCGTTCTTTGATTGGTCCGTTAGTGACTGGGGCGTGTGACCCTTATCCTCCTAGCTCAGGAGCTGCTAGGGAGGCATTCTCTGCTTGTTTTCCACCTGCTAAAGAAACTGATGTCATTAAGTTTGGACTGAAAGCAATCGTGAATGTAAGAGAGAGAGAGAGAGAGAGGGAGGGAGGGAGGGAGGGAGAGAGAGAGGGAGGGAGAGAAAAGAGAGGCAGAAAAAAAAAGCTAAGAGCACCATCTTTATATTAACTCTTTGTATCTTTATTCTTTCTCTCTCTCTCAGTACTGTAGTGATATTATCTTAAAAGAATCTCCAGACACTTTCTCAGACCCAAAGTAAGTTAAGCAGCACTAAATCCATCATAAACCCACCTTTAATGAAAATACATGTACATGTACATGTACATGTACATATAAGCATAATTGTGGTTTGACTCTACTAATTCAACTAATTACATGCCACTTAACTTCAATCATTATGTTAAAGATTTCTCACTAAATCACTACACACAATTACAACTAGACTTCCACTAGACTACCACAGTCCCTCATATTATAACTTCATGTTCTACCGATAGGACGATGCCCGAGGACGAGAGGGTACAACGGTACGAGCGGACGGTGGTAATGGCAATCGGTGGTTACGGGTACGCACTGGAGAAGCTCGGGAAGACAGTGGAGGAGGAAGGGCTGGTGGAGATATGGAAAGGATTAGTAATGGAGAAGAGACTGTGGAAACTGTTGAAGCATTCGAACCATTCAGTAAGAGAAGCGTTAATGTAATGTACATGTACTGTATAGTGGGTATTGGTACTGGTACATTAATTTTGATCTAAAATCAATTCAAAGTTTTTACACATGCATCAGAAAAATTAATAAGACATGTTTTCCTCTTTATTTTCTTTTGTTACTACATGTATTAAATTTAAAGCAGGGCACAAGCCCTTTCAAAAATTTTGTAAGGCACTTCAAAATCACGGAATTTCGATATGGTGCAGTTACTCATTAATGCACAGTGATGGAGGTTTTATAGCCTGATATTTTAGTGATGGTATTGTGGGTTGCACAACCAGACTCTGTCTGTGGTTATCAGCTATTATACTTGTATAAACTGTACCCTCTTTGAAGTGAAGCTACAAAAATGAAGCATTATTATATAAATAAAAAGAAGCCCATACTTTATTTTGCATGAATATACTGCATGATAATATACATGTACATGTACATGGAAATTTTGGAGGAACTAAAATTTGGCGAATTGCTAAATTTTGGTCATTGGTGGGTTTTAATTTGGCAAATTTGTGGCCATGTGCCATTGAGCATGCGTACATAATGGCTCAAAATGGCAGATTATTGGCGAATGGCTATCAAAACACCAAATTTTCCAAATTTAATTCCCTCCAAAACTACCCGCTATACGGTATGCCTTAAAAAATTTTTTGGAGTGTAAAATTTGATGAAACTTTTTGTTGATTTATGACACAAGAGATAAATTTTGTTACAATTTGAGCTCGATTTGATTAACTAGAAAATTTTTAATTCACCAAATTTTCCAGCTATTATTTATATAATTATATTGACTGTTACTCTTTAGATACGGAATGCAGTTATTATTCTAATTAAAGCCCTGATAAGCTCAACCCAGTACGTGAATCAGCACCCGGACACATTCTGCCCTCTCCTCCTCTCTCAACTATCAGAGCCTCATTCCTCAGTAGTGCAGTCTTTATGGGAAACATCACTCCTACTGATATCCACTGTTGATGTAAGTATACATGTACATGTACACATATTCCATTTGTACATGCATAATTTTATTTATTAATTTATTTATTGGGCAACGCCCACTAAGTTGAGAGCGAGTCTGTACGGGCAGTATAGGGTCGTCTAACTATTATTAAAGTTAAAGAGCCTAATCTTCATTGAAAGTGGGTGTGGTCACAATGAAATAAAATGGCGGCTATTAGCATGTCTGTGCATGCTCATTAGCAGCAAACGGTCAGGAAGATAAGACTAAACTGCTATCCAAAGACTTCCCTAGCAGCAAGGAAGGTCATACAGCACAAAAATGGCGTGGCTTGTTTTATTATTTTATTTGTTGATGTAAGTCCACACTGAAATTTTTGTAAGAATCAAATTTTGTGGGCTGTATAAGATTATGCTCAAAAAATTTTTTTTCACAATAATATAAACTCATAATAAAAATTCCATAAAATATGAAAATGTAAGTGCATTGCCAACATATTGTACATGTATGTCTCCCAATTTTTGTTATTGAAATGCTTTCATTTTCAAAAAATTGAACTGTTGTTGGTTGATTTTTTTAATGAAATTTGACATAATCACAAAAAGTTTTAAAGAAAAATGCTTGACACATTTACAGTACACTGTTATAAACTATTGTAAAACTGTATAAACTGTTGTTATTGTTGTTTAAATTCAGTTATTAATAATTAAACAAAAGTTAATCAAGTACTTGTACATTATAAACAAAAAGTCGGCAATTATCACAATCACAAACATACAATAATCCATCTTTATCAAATGCTAATCCACGAGGACAATAAAACTGATCAATATTACTGCCTTTACTTCCAAACTTCCCAACAAACACACCATCACTAGTGAAGACTGATATACGATGATTGCCCTCTTCACTAACATACACTAGACCAGTAGCTGCAGTGCCTATTGCTATACCTGATAGATAACTAAGCTGTCCAGGACGAGATCCTACAGTACCAAACTGACCCACAAACTTTCCATCTGGAGAGAACTTCTGAATGCGACCATTCCAACAATCAGCAACATACACTAATCCTTGACTGTCAATGGCAATGTCTGCTGGACGCTGAAACTGTCCATTAGCTGATCCATAGCTACCAAATGAATGAGAGAAGGTTAGATCAGGATTCAAGACTTGTATACGATGATTATTACAATCAGCAATATAAACCTGTCCTTTTATAGCAGAAATGGCTATACCATGAGGAGTATTGAATTGTAGTGGTCCACTGCCCTCCTTACCAACTGATGCTATAAGGTCTCCATCCATGCTTATCTTCTGGATCCTGTCACTATCAGATACAAGAATGAATTTGTCTGGAGTAATGGCTATACCACGAGGAAAATAAAACTTGACATTACCACTTCCTCCTTCCCCTCCTAGTGATTTCACTTTCTTTCCTTCTCTATCCAGTATTGTTACACAGTGACCATCCCATTCAGTTACTATAACATAATTATCATCACTTGCAGCAACTCCCCAGGGAACCTTAAGCTTGGTTATAGTACGTACTGGAGTGATATTACCAAGGTAAGGTTTGGAAGATGAAGATGGTTTGGTCGCCATTTTGAAAAAGAATAAAATTATGTACGTGAAGCAAGAACGAAGAGAGATAAAGGTAGAAGACGATAAATGAAGATAGAGCAAGAACAAATGACTGAAGTCTGAATGAATGAGAATCTGAAACAAAGCAGAGGATGAGAAGAGAAGGCAGTGAATAAGTTAAACAAAATCAAGATGATGGAAGGATGAGAGCCAGTGACTCCTTTTTATATACACAGCAACTTGTTACTACCTCTTCTGTTTTGATCTTGTAAGCAGTATGTTTTCAGAAGTAGAATGAGTCAGCAGATGAGGTGAATTGATGAGGTCAGTAGGCCCATTCAACACAATGTTGACACGTCTGTGGCTTAGTAAGTAGCCGAACCACGTCATTCAGAATTGTTGAAATTGTAAACAAGAACAAGAGATGGGTGCATGCATGCTGCATGCCAACATAAGTCTATACAAAGTATAAGTGAATATACTGACTGTACTATATTAACTGTACTAACTTTAACAGCCAACATAAATCTAGTACTAATTTTAACAAATTTAGTGATAGGCCACTACAAAGGCGCATGTGAATAAAAAATAAATGAATGAGAATTAGAAGGGGGAGAAGGGAAGGCAGTGAATGAGTGATGAGAGAGAGTCCTAATGACCAGATGAAACAACAAAACAAAATGAAGAAGGTGGAAGGAGGAGAGAAATACTAGTTGGTGGTCCTTAAATACGTAATACAGCATTACAGTAACCAAAATAAGCATTATTTCGGTTACCGTATAAGCGATTTTTAGGCTTGCAAATTTTATGGATTCTTACTTTATTATTTTATTTGTTGATGTAAGTCGACACTGAAATTTTTGTTAGAATCAAATTTTGTGGATTCTGTAAGATCATGCTCAAAAAATAATTTTTCACAATAATCTAAACTCATGAAGATTTCCATAAAATATTAAAATGTAAGTGCATTACAAACATGTTGTATGCCTCCCAAAATTTTGTTATTGAAATGCTTTCATGATCAAAAAATTGACCTTTGAACTCTAGTTGTTGAATTGTTGGTTGGTTTTTTGAATGAATTTTTTTTAATATTCACAAAAAAATTAAAGAAAAAAGTGCTTGACACAGCTACACAGTTATATGCTGCTGTAGGGCCATATAGGGCTCAGTATAAACACAAAAGTAATAATTAATTTATTAATTAAACACAGTTATTAATAATTAAACAAAAGTTAATCAAGTACATACATGTATTTTATAAACAACAATTCGGTTATTATTAGAATCACAAACATACAAGAATCCATCGTTATCAAATGCTAATCCACGAGGACAATGAAACTGACCATCATCACTGCCTTTACTTCCAAACTTCCCAACAAACTCACCATCACTAGTGAAGACTGATATACGATGATTGCCACTCTCACTAACATACACTAGACCAGTAGCTGCAGTGTCTATTGCTATACCTTCAGGCGTTTCAAGCTCTCTATCATCAGATCCTTTAGTACCAAACTGACCCACAAACTCTCCATCTGGAGAGAACTTCTGAATGCGATGATTCCAACAATCAGCAACATACACTAATCCTTGACTGTCAATGGCAATGTCTGCTGGACGCTGAAACTGTCCATTAGCTGATCCATAGCTACCAAATGAATGAGAGAAGGTTAGATTAGGATTCCAGACTTGTATACGATGATTATTACAATCAGCAATATAAACCTTTCCTGTTATAGGAGAAATGGCTATACCATGAGGATACTTGAATTCTTGTCGGTCACTGCCATACTTACCTAATGGTTTGTTAAGGTATCCATCCATGCATATCTTCTGGATCCTGTGATCATCAGATACAAGTATGAATTTGTCTGGAGTAATGGCTACACCACGAGGATTAAAAAGATTGAAATCACCACCTCCTCTTTTTCTTCCTAATGATTTCACTTTCTTTCCTTTTCTATCCAGTATTGCTACACAGTCATCAAAATGCTCAGTTACTATAACATGGTTATCATCTCTTACTGCAATTGCCCAGGGAACAATAATCCCAGTTATAATACGTGTAAGTACTGGAATGATATTACCAAGGTAAGGCTTGGAAGGTGAAGATGGTTTGGTTGCCATTTCGAAAAAGAATAAAATTGTGTACGTAAAGCAAGATCAAAAAATGAAGAGAGATAAAGGTAGAAGACTGAAGATAGAGCAAGAACAAATGAATGAAGTCTGAATGAACGAGAATGTGAAGCAAAGCAGAGGATGAGAAGAGAAGGCAGTGAATAAGTTAAACAAAATCAAGATGATGGAAGGATGAGGGCCAGTGACTCCTTTTTATATACACAGCAACTTGTTACTACCTCTTTTGTTTTGATCTTGTAAGCAGTATATTTTCAGAAGTAGAATGAGTCAGCAGATGAGGTGAATTGATGAGGTCAGTAGGCCCACTCAATGTAAGTAGCTGAAGTACCTTATTCAGCATTTTTAACAAAAACAAGAGATGGTTGCATGCTGCATGCTGATGTGAGTCTATATAAAGTATATATAAGTATGGTATAGCCATTTCTCCTATAACAGGACAGGTTTATATTGCTGATTGTAAGAATCATCGAATACAAATCTTGAATCCTGATCTATCCTTATCTGATTCATTTGGTAGCTATGGATCAGCTAACGGACAGTTTGAGCGACCAACAGACATTGCTATTGACAGTCAAGGATTACTTTATGTTACTGATCAATATTATTAAGCAACATGCTTTCGGAAGTAGAATGAGTCAGCAGATGATGTCAGCAGTTGAGGTAAATTAATGAGGTCAGTAGGCCCACTCACTGTAAGTAGCTGAAGTACCTTATTCAGCATTTTTAACAAAAACAAGAGATGGTTGCATGCTGCATGCTGATGTGAGTCTATATAAAGTATAAGTGAATATACTGACTATACTAACTTTGACAGCCAACATAATTCTAGTACTAAAGTATACTGACTGTACTATAATACTAAGTTGAGAGTGAGTCTGTACGGGCAGTATAGGGTCGTCTAACTATTATTAAAGTTAAAGAGCCTCAGCCTAATATCTTCATTGAAAGCGGGTGCGGTCACAATTAAATAAAATGGTGATATGTGCTCATTAGCAGCAAACGGTCAAGAAGATAAGACTAAACTGCTATCCAAAGACTTCCCTAGCAGCAAGGAAGGTCATACAGCACAAAAATGGCATGGCTTGTTTTATTTTTTTTTATTTGTTGATGTAAGTTCACACTGAAATTTTTGTAAGAATCAAATTTTGTGGATTTTATAAGACCATGCTCAAGAAATAATCTTCCACAATGATCTAAACTCATAAAAATTTCCATAAAATATGAAAATGTAAGTGCATTACAAACATGTTGTATGCCTCCCAAAATTTTGTTATTGAAATGCTTTCATGATCAAAAATTGACCTTTAAACTCTAGTTGTTGAGTTGTTGGTTGGTTTTTTGAATGAATTTTTTAATATTCAAAAAAATTTAAAGAAAAAATTCTTGACAGAGTTACACAGTTATAAGCTGCTGTAGAGCCATATAGGGCTCAGTATAAACACAAAAGTAATAATGAAACAAAATTATTAAAATTAAACACAATTATAATAATTAAACAAGATTTAATCAAGTACATGTACATGTACGTTATAAACAACAAGTCGGCCATTACCAGAATCACAAACATACAAGAATCCATCTTTATCAAATGCTAATTCACGAGGATTATTAAACTGATCAATATTACTGCCTTTACTTCCAAAATTGCCAACAAACACACCATCACTAGTGAAGACTGATATACGATGATTGCCACTCTCACTAACATACACTAGACCAGTAGCTGCAGTGTCTATTGTTATACCAAATGGATAACTAAGCTGTCCAGGACCAAATCCTTTAGTACCAAACTGACCCACAAACTCTCCATCTGGAGAGAACTTCTGAATGCGACCATTCCAACAATCAGCAACATACACTAATCCTTGACTGTCAATAGCAATGTCTGTTGGTCGCTCAAACTGTCCGTTAGCTGATCCTTCACTACCAAATGAACGAGAGAATTTAAATTTCAAATCACGGTTCACAACTTTTATACGATCATTACCATAATATAAACCTGTCCTGTTATAGGAGAAATGTCTATACCATGAGGATAATTGAATTGTAGTGGTTCACTGCCCTTCTCACCAACTGATTCTCCATCCATGCTTATCTTCTGGATCTTGTGCCTATCAGATACAAGAATGAATTTGTCTGTAGTAATGGCTACACCATGAGGTTCAGATAACTTGACATTACCACTTCCTCCTTCCCCTCCTAATGATTTCACTTTCTTTCCTTCTCTATCCAGTATTGTTACACAGTGACTACCACACTCGGCTATTATAACATGATTATTATCAGTTACAGCAACTCCCCAGGGACGATTAAGCTCAGTTATAGTACGTACTGGAGTGACGTTATCAAGGTAAGGATTGAAAGGGATGACTAGTGAGGTATCCTCAAGGTGTACATCATATACTTGTACTTTTACTGTATGAGTACCACGTGTTGAAAGTTTACACTGTATCCTATACACTCCAGGATCAGTGCTGGTGGTAGTTACTGTAGTGTCAATGGGTTTATCACCTTTACCAACTGGTACTAGACTACACCTGAAAGAAATTAGGGGAACAGACAAAAGAGATGAATCTGGTGCCTCCATTGATAGTGAAAACGAAACTTCTTTGCCAGCAAATGTAATACAATCTATCTTCTTCACTCTACACTGCTGTAGTGAGACAATATCTTCATCGCGATATAGTGATTTGGTATTTACTGTAATAGACTGTATATCTCTTTGAGGTTGTTCACATGAAATGCTACAGGAAAGGCTCCTGCTCCTTCTTCTGGTAACTCTGTACAATGACGACAAGTGGAACAAGAGAGGTAATAGGTCTCATTCTTCTTATCCAGAGGTAATCCCTCCAGACAGTGCTCACAGAATGAATGTAGACAAGGTAAAGTCTTAGGGTTGGTATAGTGGTCAAGACACACAGGACAGGTGAGCTGTTCCTCCAGTTTGAGGAGACCAGGAGAACAAGATAAAGATGGTTTGGTTGCCATTTAAAGAAAAGAATAAAATACATGTATGTACGTAAAGCAAGAACAAAAAATGAAGAGAGATAAAAATACACGTGTACATGTAGAAGACAGTAAAGCAAGAGCGGATGATAAGAAAATGAAGTTAGAGTAAACAAGAATGTGAAAAGAAGTAGAGGATGAGGACGAGAGAGAGAAGGCAGTGAATGGTGCGACAATAAGAGAAAGTGTTTCCTTTAAATACACTACTAAGTTACTTTGATCTTGTAATCAACTTGTTTTCAGAACTAGTAGAATGTGAACCATTTTGCTTTGTCTCGTGTAATACAATGATAATATGTCTGCGGTTTTGTAACCGAACCACCTTATTCAGCATTTTAAATCAGTAAGCAAAAGCAAGAGGTGGTTGATATAAGTCTGTATAATATCCTGACTGTACTAATTTTAACAAATCAAAAGAACCACATGCCCACTTAGCAGTTTTAAATAAACAAAAGCATGCATAAAAAGGTGCGTGCGTGCAGCCGAAACTTTTGTTTTTTACTTAGTGGGCCTATAAAATCCCCCAACTATCCTCATCAATATAAGACAAGTTATCGACATTGTGTTTTCATTCTTATTGTACTAAAAGCATTAATACATGAGACAACAGGATGCTAGCAATTCACTGTACTATAATACTAACTGTACTAATTTTAACAAATTTAGCATTTGACACAATCATTTTATTTCTGTTTATTTATTTATTTATTTATTTTTGTTTTAGGGTTGGCATCAACATGTGAACATTCAGAAAGCTCTCCTTCCGGGGGTGTGGCAGTTGCTAGGCAACGGTGGCCATGGTAACGGGAGCATCATCTACCCATGCCTCCTTCCCCTGCTGAGCCAATTACTAAAAGTACCTGACTGTGATACTACTGGATTATCAATTAATTTTATTACAAGATTAAAGTCAGGGTTAGTGAGTGTACATGTATTCATGTACAGTATATTAAAAACTGGTGGGAGTCCCTGTACTATAGCCCATGGATTTTTTTTGGAAAAATGGCTAAAAAATCACCCCCAATTTTTATTACATTTTCTGATGCATATTGATGTCCTTATGCTGTGTAGAAAGTTTGAGCTAATTCAGACTTAAATTTTTCAAGTTATGACCATTTTTTAAAATTGGCTAAAATCTGAAAAAATCCCTGTACTATAGCCCATGGTTTTTTCTGAAAAATGGTCAAAAAATTACACCCAATTTTTATTACATTTTCTGATACATATTAATGTACTTATCCTGTGTAGAAAGTTTGAGCTGATTCCGACTTAAATTTTTCAAGTTATGGCCATTTAAAAAATACATGTATTTCTACTGACTACTATACATGTACATGTATACACAAAAATACCATTTGTCTTTCCTCTGTCTCTCTCTCTCCTCAGTTTATCATCAGAGGTGTCAAAAGGCTCTTCATCAGACACTAATAGTCTGATAATGTCCCTCATTGAATGCTCCTCCTACTGTATGGACACTAATGATGGAGGAGATACCACTGGGGTAACCCCTTTCATTAGCCACCTAATTAATATTGTGAGTTACATTTATTACCAGATGTACATGTACATGTAATTGGTGGTTTTAGAAAAGGCTAGAATTTGGCAAAATTAATTATTTGAGAACGATTTACATGTACTGTAACATTTATCACATGTACTTGTACTTATACCAATTTAGTATTTTGGCTCCATTTAATTGACATTATGTATTTACTGAATTTCTATTGTGTCTATTCTTTATAGATTATTGAATTAATTGATGATCTGTTTCTCGTACCAGCTGTACAGTTGGAGGGAGTGTCCAATTGTATCGTTTGGTTGATCAACCTGCTCGTTAAGAGATCAGTGAGATATCAGTCAGATATGACGCACCTTGATCAACTGAGATCAGAGTTAACGCATCGCCTGTGTCAGAGATTAATAATCAATGATACTGTAAAGGTACGTGTATATGTACATAAACTTTAATTCTCTCTCTCTCTCTCTTTATAGCAAAGTCTAAACTCTATCTCTACCTTACTGGTCAAATTTTACCCGCAACCCACTTTAGCCACGCCTACTTTAGCCACGCCTACTTCTTCTCTCACCCTCGTCTCTCCCTCCACCTCCCAGTACATGTTACCGTTAACATGTGAACTAATATCGGATTGTCTCACCAGATACTCAAATTCTCTCTCTCACATTAAACTAGCTTCGTCTCTTCTCTCCGCTATCAGTCACATGACCTCTGCGTGGGTCGATCATGTGACACGACTCGTCGGATGTCCTTATAAGGAAGGTGTTGAGGGTGATGCCCATTATAGCTTGGCGAAGTACCTAATTGAGTTATTGGATAGTGGAATTGAGGCAGAGTCTGGAAAAGAGGCAGAGAAATGGGGCGTGTCTGTTGGAGGCGTGTCGCCTGAAATGTTCGCATGTTCTTTTAGTGATACTGAGATGAGAGAGGAGCTGCTGGTTGATTGCTGTGTTAATGTGCTGTACGCTGGAAGGGGCGGGAAAAGAGGCGGAGTCAATGATGTACATGTACATGTATTATCGACTGAGTCAGTTCGGAAGATGTTAATGGAAATTTGTCAAGTAATTAATTAATTAATTATGATTAAATTTGCTAACATACATGTAATTTATAAGGTGTTTTTAACGACAATTTTTGGAAAAAAGTATGGGCTATAGTACAGGATAATTTTTAGAAATTATCTTATTTTTAAAATACAAAAATATATGTTTCCTTTACCAAAAAAATTTAAAAAATAATTAAAATGCCTGTATGTATATTTATTGTCATTATTCTTTATTACAATAGGCAAACTCGAAATTACTACCTGCAATCCTGAACCAAGTGAGTACAAAAATTAATAATAATAATAATAATAATACATCAATAATTTAACGCTGTATAATCTAAATACCTGTTCACACTGTTGTTACTATTATTATAATCATTGTCCTCACTATCCTCCAATCCTTTCGTATTGTAATACTCCTCAATGATAGTCCTAGTGTCTTTATCCTGTCTTCGTCTATAGCGATATACCCGGGCACTAAATAGAAATAGTATCATTAGCCCCATCATTAATATCCCTTTAGCAATGTAGTATCCAAAATAACAGTCTAGCTCGAAAAATCTCTGCAGTGCGAGGATAACACTGTCTATGCCTTGGAAGGAGAACCAGATTCCGATTAGAAAACCTTTCGTACTGTATGGAGATTGGGCGCAGACGAATTCAAGCGTCGAAGAGAAAATTATGACGTAACTTAGACCGTTTAGAACCTCCGGCACCAATAGCCAGTTGTAGTTGATGATGTTGGTGGAGTTACAAGTTTCTGAGACGAATTCAGTGATATTTGACATTTTATGGAGTGTTATGTCTAGTTGGAGTCCAAATAAGGTCAACACTCCGGCGAAAGTGAGACAGAGTGCGATTCCGAGTCGCCATAGCAACGAGGTGTGATAAGCGAAACGGTTTGTAACCCGACTGATTAGAAAAATATAAACTGGGATGAGAAAGAAAGCTAAGGCGCTACGAATCCAACTCGGGACTTCAACTAATAGACACTTTCCATAAGGAAGTCTATCTTTTAATTCTTCATCTGATATGAACTGGTATGCTAGTGTATGGAGCTCATCAACAAAATAAATAGCTGAAAGAGGAACAAGCAGCAATAATATATAAAAGAATACTTTAACGTCTTCGACTTGCTCCGTTGTAAAAGGTCCGCCATATTTATATTTAGAGCGGTCAAGACAAGATGGTACCTCGTTATCTGTGTATTGGAAGGCACTAATTGGGTGGGCGGAGCGTCGGTGCTTTCGTGAGTAATTAAGTACTTGGATTATTAGTTTGAAGGGGTGGGATCCTGTCTGGTGGTTGTAGAATTTCCGACGCCAGCAAAGCATTTGTATTGTCATGAGTATGAGGAGTGAGATCTGTATGCTGGAGAATATGGCACCAGTGATGTCATGAGTAGCTTCATTGTCTGCATAGCCTCTGCCTGTAAATAAATAAATGAATAAATAATAATAATAATAATAATTTGCAATTAAAAATGAATTATAAAGTAGAACAGTAGCTATATGTATAGAATGATTTTCTTCATCATTTATGAATGGTTATGGATTTTTAAAATTACTCCAAAATCGGGCCAAAGTCCCTGTACTATAGTACAGGGTCTCAGGCCAAATTTCGCCAAAAATGAAAAGAGAGAATTCTCCATTTTTATAACTTTTCCTGATACATATACATGTTCTTATGTTGTGTAGCAAGTTTGAGTTGATTCCAATCAAATTTGGATTTTTTACAAATTTTCAAAGTTGCTCCAAAATTGAGCCAAAGTCCCTGTACTATAGTACAGTGTTTTTTGCCAAATTTCGCCAAAAATGAAAAGGAGAGGATTCTCCATTTTTATAATTTTTCCTGATACACATACATGTTCCTTATGTTGTGTACCAAGTTTGAATTGATTCCGATCAAATTTGGATTTTTTACAAATTTTTAAAGTTGCTCCAAAATCAAGCTAAAGTCCCTGTACTATAGTACAGGGACTTTGGCCAAATTTCGCCAAAAATGAAAAGGAGAGAATTCTTCATTTTTATAACTTTTCCTGATGCATATACATGTTCTTATGTTGTGTAGCAAGTTTGAGCTGATTCTGATCAAAATTAGATTTTTTATGAATTTTTAAAGTTACTCCAAAATCAAGCTAAAGTCCGTGTACTATAGTACAGTGTTTTTGACCAAATTTCGCCAAAAATGAAAAGGAGAGAATTCTCCATTTTTATAATTTTCCCTCATGCATATACATGTTTTATGTTGTTTAGAAAGTTTGAGCTGAATCCGATCAAAATTAGATTTTTTACGAATTTTTAAAGTTGCTCCAAAAGCCATGTACTATTTTGTAGTGCTTGTCAGCTAATGAAGCTCATTCTGTTTAGCTCACTTAGCATGTTTTGTGTGTCAACATACCTATACAAACAAAAGTCCCATAGAGAAAATGTCCCAGTTCCATCGTCCAGTAGTACCAGTACACATAATATCTGTAATTATCAGTGGAATGGGTCTGTAACTGATCCAGACCAAACTGAATAGCATTAACTTCAAATAGAGCCTGTCCACTAGCTGATATCATCAGTCCTATCAACTGAACTGATGCCGATGTATAGAACCGAAGGAGCGTTGTGACAAAAGAGCCTACTATTACTAGTAACTGCCCAATAAACATGGTCCAGAAACGTGTTAGAAAAGCGTCTGCAATCCAGCCCGATAGAGGATAGAGGATGAGTAGAAATCCAAATAAAGCACCTGCTATAGTGTACTTCTCATCTGAAGGATTGACTAGGTATAATATGTAGAAGAAGTGTATGATGGCACTCCAAATTAGAACTAAAGTGGCCTTCTTTGATTCTACTATCCCGTAAATCTTTGGCATAGAGCAGGTTGGAGGACATTTCGAGTTTTGAGGAGAAGAGGGAGAGAGGGAGAGTGTAGAGTCTGTCTTGACTTGCTTGCTGGCCATTTTCTGATAAGCTACTAGATCATGTGACCTACATGTATATGTACATGTACATGTATATGTATATGTGTGTTGATTGATAGTTTATGTAAAGTGTAGTAATGTTGTTATAAGATAGTGATAATTATCATGTTAATTTTTCAGTGGGTTAGTGTGTATTAATCGTGTGGTGTTTTTTTGGGGGGAGCTTGCTTTGGTAATATTTGTATGGAATTGTTTTCTCTATTGCAAAGTACTTGAATAAATGTTTTGTGTTGTGTAAAGGTATTTTAATGATTCTCCTTTTTGTTTTCATTTTTACCTTTCAATTTCTCTTTCTCTCTCTCTCACTCACTCTCTCTCTCTCTCCCTCCCTCTCTTCCTCCCTCTCTCTCCTTCTCTCTCTCCCTCTAGCTCTCCATCCATCATCATGACACTGACTTCACTTACATCTCCACTCAGCTACATTCCTCTCTTCTCCCCACCTCCTCCTCCCTCACCAACCCTCACTACTCCTCCTTCCTCCACTCTCTCTTCCTCTCTCCCTCTCTCTCCTCCCAGTCCCTCCTCTTCACTGATATCATTCACTGGTTGGTTGATCTGTTATCAGTGAGGGAGGGAGGAGAGGGTGAGAGTGTGGCTGGCCCTGTGGATAAAAGGAGGGAGAAGTTCCAGCTGTTGAAACTGTTTTCATTAATGAACTCAAAATCAATTTCTGTAAGTATATGTACATGTACATGTACAACATGTACTATTATACATGTACAGTAATTACTGTATAGCTACAGCCTATTGTAGTAATTTTGGTGGATATATTTAATAAATACATGTACATGTAATTGTCAAATTTTTAGTGGTTAAAGCTCTTAATTTTAATGTATGTATTATATTTTTGATTCATACTGTAGTTATGTCTCGATGAAATGGACAGGCTGTTATCATATTTATTAAAATGGCTATTGAAAGCAACAGGTACATGTACATATACATTATATATTTATTTGTTATTATTTTTTTGTTGTTAGATATTGAGTTGTGTGTATCAGTAGTGAGCACTTATCGGCATCTTGTTGACTGTTATTCCTCTTCTAACGATATTAATAAATATTTAAATAATGCAGCTGGTATCATAATGGACTCTGTCAATAATAATAATGATAATAATAATAGTGATATAACAAAGTAAGTAGGGGAGAGAGAGAGAGAGAGAGAGAGAGGGAGGGAGGGAGGAAGGGAGTGAGGGAGTAAGTAGGGAGAGAGAGAGAGAGAGGGAGGGAGGGAGGGAGTGAGGGAGGGAGAGAAGACTACTTTAGTCTTATTTAGTGAGGATCTGTATATTTTAAAGTTTAAAAGTGCACGTACATGTAGATAGGTATCAATTGGGAGAAATCGAGTAAGATAAGGATGAACTGGGACAATAATAATAATAATTGTTAATATTATCATTATTATTATTATTATTATTTTATTTTAGTGTATTGTTTCATGGTGTTGTATTCCAGTGTCTCCATTCTTCTCTTCTCTCCTCATCATGGACACTCTTCCAACCTACCCTGGACAAAGCAATGAAAGATAAAGTATAACTATAACATTGTTTTTGTATTTATTATTTATTTATTTATTTGCGCATACAATTTTATATGTATTTTATTTTTGGTTCTTAAAATTAATTTCTTTTTTAGACTAATTACATCACACCTCAGTTGCTGCTCCAGTGTTGCCATGGCGACCTCTACTTCTCCCCCTCTCTCTCTCCTCTCTCTCTCACTTCCTCCCTCCCTCTCTCCCTCTCTCTCTCTCTCCTCCCTTCTCTCGGCTCATGTGATCTTCCCTCTCTACAGCATCTCGTTGGAGAAGGGCTGGATGGATACCCATTGGTTGATGTGTTGTTGCTATGGTTACCAGAAGGTGGTCGTGGTGAGGGGGAGGTTAATGAGGAGGTGTGGTTAATGGGTGTGGTCACATCTTTATTGAGCATCGTGATTTTAGAATCTTTTGAGGAATCTTTATTAGTAAGTTAATAGTGTTTTATTGTATTAGGGAATTGACTATTATTTCTAGCATTTTAGTTACGTTGTACATGTGTAAATGATGTTATTAATTTATGAATTGCATTTTATTTTAGAATTTTTACTTTTTGCTAAATCTATTAAAATTACATGTACATGTATGCATACTATTACGTACTATTAATTTGTTAATTTGAATTCTCTCTCTCTCTAGTCTTCTCTTATACTGCCTGTAGTTAGATCTTCATTGAAGTCGCTAGTTCAATCAAGAAAGTGTTCGGCTTTACCAACAATCCAATCATTATTGAAAAGGTAAGTATAATATTCTACCACAAATAAGATATTAATTATTGATTTTGTATTTTAATTTGATACATGTACATGTACACTGTACACGTATAATGTAAGAAAGGCACTAATTGAAATTAACAAGCGTAACAGTGTAAAAATAGTCCTATAATTGATTTCACTTCCTTGCAAGTACAACTTGGTCATTATTAATACTTATAGAGGTTCTCTCTACCTTCTAATGCTTCTAGAGAAGTCTTTAGACAGTATCTCTATGTTGTCTTGCTGTTAGAAAGCTCTTAACTTTGTCCCATGTGTAAGCCGCCATTTTGTTTGCTGTGGCCACACCCACTCACGTAAAGGAGCGTGGGCGGGTGGTTGCTAAGGCTTGTTATTTCTCCAATACAACGTGTATAGAAGAAATGTAAGTGTGGACATACAAATAAATAAATAAATATATATAATAGATAGCGCAACGGTGAAATCAATCATAGGAACGACCTGGGGGCTATGCCCCCAGGTCGTTAAAAATAAAATTAATAGTTGTACTACCTTCTATGTTAATCTGTCTCTCCCACAGATGTTCTGATCAGTTCATTTCTCTTCTCTCCCTCTCTCATTTATTGGAACATTATAAGCCAGAGCTGGAGGAAGAGAATGTACCAGAAGATTCAAAAAGAGAAGAAGGAGGAGGAGAAGTGAAGAGTTATAAAGATGATTCTATCATTCAGTTGATATTGGAAGAGTCTGATGCCACTCTATGGACTGTACTAGCTCCCATTAAGAATAAACTTGATATACCACTGATAGTTAGTGAAGGTATAGCTTAGCATGCAATGTACAATGTACTCAAAAATCAGGCTAAAGTCCCTGTACTATGTAGTACATGTACATGGTGTCAGACCAAATTTTGCCAAAAATTAAAAGGAGAAGATTCTTCATTTTTATAATTTTTCCTGATGCATATACATGTTTTTTGTTGTGTAGAAAGTTTGAGGTGATCCCTATCAAAATTGAATTTTCAAAAAAATTTTTAAGTTGCTCTAAAATCAAGCCAAAGTCCCTGTACTATAGAAGTAATTAGTGTTTTGCCAGAAAAGTACTTATTCTGATGCACATGCTGAATGTTCAATTTTAAAGCAATTTATATGTACATGTATTTTATTTCTCTAGATCCTTGTCAAGTCTGCTCATTGCTATACATTACATCACCCAACACTGTACAGTACAATGAGTCTATCAATACTGTACTGAGCTCTATAGTACAGTATCAGGATCAGCTCAACCTGTTTGGAGGAGGGAAGTAAGTGAATGTCCTTATATACATTTACTTTAATTTGTTGTTACTAATTATATTTTTCATCTCCTATTCTAATTCAATGTATATAATATAATATAATGTATTTATAATGTATAATATAATGTAATGTAATGTAATGTACAGTATTTCCCACTGGTTACTATGGTAAAGCCAGTATTCATTATGTGCTATCATAACTTTCTTTAGTCACAAGATCTTTGAATATATTTAAGGTAACGCCCACTTTTTGTGTCTACCTGCCCTCTCTTCTTCTCTACCATTTTTTAATTCTCGTTCATTCTGATTTCTTTATTTTCTTATTATTCGTTCTTGCTCTATCTTCATTTACCATCTTCTACCTTTATCTCTCTTCATTTTTCGATCTTGCTTTACGTGCATAATTTTATTTTTTTCTTAAAATGGCAACCAAACCATCTTCATCTTCTCTCCTCAAACTGGAGGAACAGCTCACCTGTCCTGTGTGTCTTGACCACTATACCAACCCTAAGACTTTACCTTGTCTACATTCATTCTGTGAGCAGTGTCTGGAGGGATTACCTCTGGATAAGAAGAATGAGACCTATTACCTCTCTTGTCCCACTTGTCGTCATTGTACAGAGTTACCAAAAGAAGGAGCAGGAGCCTTTCCTGTAGCATTCACTCTCAACAACCTCAAAGAGATACACAGTGATATGGAGAAAACAGCAGTTTTACCTCATCCTCAAGAGGCTACATGTAGTGATCATGGAAAGCCTTTGGAGCTATTCTGTGAAACATGTGATACAGTAATCTGTGTTACCTGTCAATTTCATGATCACAAACATCATGAATATAGCTTAATCACTGACAGTTATCCTAAACACTGTCAAAAGTTAAGAGAATGTCTATCACCAGTTGAGGGAAAGAAGGAAGCACTCAAGAAGGTCCTGTCTGCTCTAGAAGAGAGAGAGGGTGAGATCAGAGAGAGAGGAGAAGGAGTCTTAGAAGAAATACATGAAATGGTAGAGGAAATGATGAATGTTCTTCGTCAGTCAGAGAGGAAACTGACTGAGCAGGCAAAGAGGGTCACTGATGATAAACTAAAGGTGCTGTCAGTGCAAATAAAATCAGCAGAAATGAGTTTGAGTCTTCTGGAGGATGTTGAAGATTATGTAGAACAGAGTCTGGAGACAGGCAGTCGTCAACAAGTCCTGAGGTCTAAGAACCAGATGATGGAGCGTATGAGTGAAGTTACTGCAGGGATCAATGTGGAGGAGTTACATCCAAAGGAAAAAGCCGACTTTGTATTGAGTAAAGATATCAAATCACTACATCACATTGGAGATATTGTGACCTCTACTGCACTACAGCAGTGTAGAGTGAAGAAGATTGATTGTATTACACCTGCTGACAAAGCAGTATCGTTTTCACTATCAATGGAGGCACCAGATTCATCTGTTTTGTGTGTTCCCGTCTCTTCTCTGAGGTGTAGTCTAGTACCAGTTGATAAAGGTGATCAACCCATTCACACTACAGTCACTACCACCAGCACTGATCCTGGAGTGTATAGGATACAGTGTAACCCTTCAACCAGTGGTACTCATACAGTAAAAGTACAAGTATATGATGTAGATCTTGAGGATACCTCACTAGTCATCCCTATCAATCCTTACCTTGATAACATCACTCCAGTACGTACTATAACTGAACTTAAGGGTCCCTGGGGAGTTGCTGTAAGTGATGATAATCATGTTATAATATCTGAGGCTAATCGCAACTGTGTAACAATACTGGATAGAGAAGGAAAGAAAGTGAAATCTGGTAATGTCAAGTTTTCTTCTCCTCATGGCATAGCCATTTCTCCAGACAACTTCATTCTTGTATCTGATGATCACAGGATCCAGAAGATAAGCATAGATGGATACCTTAAAGCATCAGTTGGTAAGTGGGGCAGTGGAGCACTGCAATATGTCTTTCCTCGTGGTATAGCCATTTCTCCTATAACAGGACAGGTTTATATTGCTGATAGGGATAATCATCGTGTAAAAGTCTTGAATCCTGATCTAGCCTTCTCTCATTTATTTGGTGGTAAAGGATCAGCTAATGGACAGTTTCAGTATCCACGTGACATTGCTATTGACAGTCAAGGATTAGTGTATGTTGCTGATCGTGGTAATCATTGCATTCAGAAGTTCTCTCCAGATGGAAAATTTGTGGATCAGTTTGGTACTGAAGGATCTGGTCCTGGACAGCTTAAGGAGCCACATGGTATAACAATAGACACTGCAGCTACTGGTCTAGTGTATGTTAGTGAAGGGGGCAATCATCGTATATCAGTCTTCACTAGTGATGGTGCGTTTGTTAGGAAGTTTGGAAGTAAAGGCAGTAATATTGAGCAGTTTAATAAACCAACAGGATTAAGATTTGATAAAGATGGATTATTGTATGTTTGTGATCTTAAAAATAACCGACTTGTTGTTTATTAGATTAATTGCTATTTTAATTGCTACTTATTATTTTATTTTTTTTTTAGTTTTATTAATAAAATTAATTAAAAGTACATGTATAATCATGTTGTAGTAAAAAAATTTAGCTCTTTAATTTTACTGATTGCCCATTAAATTTTTAGTTTGCTGGAGGTGTCCCGTGATCCAATGGTATTCTCAGTGCTACGATTATTAGTGGGTGTGGTCTCATCACACGAGTCTATTTCACAATACTGGGACTTCCTTTCTTGTACTCTTGTAACTATTGTTCAAGTAAGCCACACCCATTAGTCACGCCTACTTTTATTTTTAATTATAGTTACTTGTCGATTGTTCGGATCCAGTTTCATTAGAGGGTGTGGTTTTATGTTGCCATGGGTTACAGCTATTGGAATCGCTCCAGACTATTTTTAGTAACAAGAGTCCTGCCCACCTCATTAACGAGCACAGTGAGTGGGTGGAGTTTTTTAGTCACAGTATTGTGGATCTACTGCTACCGATATTCATCAAATATTTGACCACACCCCCTAGTTACGAGAGCCGGTTGCTAAGGTATCATACGTGTCGTATTTTGGACTTACTAGCTACTGGTCCTTCAATCGAAAAGTGGGAGGAGCTTGTTGTTATGGTGACGAGATCTCCACTTTACTTTGATCAGCTAGTGGCATGTAAATTGACAAGAAGGTGCGTGTATTTAGTTTATTAATTAATCAATTAATTGTTTTTAATTAATTGATATAGGAGCCTATTATTAGTGAGAATAGTGACTGAGGAGGAGGAGAAGCTAAAAAAAGAATCAAAACAAATTAGGTAATCATAATGTGTTTTATTAATAGTAACACTCTATAATCCATGTTATCCAGATATGTATGAATGGTAATAACTTTAAAAATTTAAGTCGGAATCAGCTCAAACTTTCTACACAGCATAAGTACATCAATATGTATCAGAAAATGTAATAAAAATTGGGGGTGATTTTTTAGCCATTTTTCGGAAAAAACCATGGGCTATAGTACAGGGATTTTTCAGAAATTGGCCGATTTTAACAAATGGTCATAACTTTAAAAATTTAAGTCGGAATCTGCTCAAACTTTCTACATAGCATAAGTACATCAATATGTATTAGAAAATGTAATAAAAATGGAGAATTCTCTCTTTTTCATTTTTTGTTGAATTTAGCCAAAGACCCTGTACTTTAGTACAAGGACTTTAGCCTAATTTTTGAGCAACTTTAAAAACTTGTAAAAATTTAGTTTTGATTGGAATCAACTCAAACTCTATGTGGCATAAAGATATCAATATGTATCAGATAATGTAATAAAAATGTAAGGTTTCAGCCGTTTAAAAACCCTGTCCTTTCTTTCTTTAGTGTTTCTTCATTTCAAAGTGTCATTGATTCAATACTTGAAAAAATTGATCTAAACTTGATCTACAACGACCACCACGACATTGTCCATACCACAAGCTACGTGTTGCTATGGCTACTGATAATAGAAACAATAGGGAAGTGTCACTTGGAGGTTAGTTATTAAGTAGTTAATTAATAGTCATTAAGTAGTTATTAGGTACGAGTCCAGTTAATTGATTGGGTGAAGGGGTGTGGCCTGCTTTTTCCTCTATTACAAGGTATAACACAGTTCTGTGATTCAACTGTGACTACTAACATGAACATTGAATCAATTAAAGGTACTAAAAAGATTAAAATGTCTGTCGTATCTGTCTCTCTCTCTCCTTTCCTCATGATCTAGCTTAAAAGTACATGTACATGTACAGTCTTATTTCTTTATTCTTTTTTACCCTCTCTCTTTCTTTCTATCTCTCTCTTTTCTCTCCCTCTCCTTCTTAAATCATTATTCTTCACCTTCTCTCTCCCTTTCTCTTTCTCTTTCTCTTTATAGTATCAATGGAGTCCTCATTATCATTATTATCCAATTGCCTGTACATGTCTGTTGCCCAGTACATTCCTCATTTATTAAGACAATGGTACTTAACACTGGATAGACAAACAAGCAATTTAATAAGCAGGTACAATATGATAAGTCAACATATGTACATGCATGTACATAACATTTTAGCAATCATTAAGAATCATTTTGGCAATCTACCAATCATGTTCATACTTCATATTAATACATTTGTGTACAAAAATTCAATGTGTTATTTATGTACATGTATGTATATTTTTTATTATTTCTGTTTATATTTTTATTGTTTTTATTTATAGTTTTACAGCTAAACATGTAAGTCAGAGGTTATGGAGGCAAGAGGTTGAGAGCATGTCCTCAAATACTAAAATAGGAAACCTTGAGGTTAGCACATGCTCATCACATGCAGAACACATGTACATGTACCGTAAATCCTTAAATAGAAGCCGCATTTGAATAAACGCCGGGGTAGCAATACAATTTAACTATAAATACGCAACACAGGCCTAGGAGTGACTCAGTAGTCTAGTGGATAATGCCTGAAGTTACAGAAGTCAAAAGCATGAGGTCACGGGTTCGAACCCTGCTCTGGGCCTAATTTTTTTTATTTTTTATATATTTTTTCGAGATCCAAATACCATTTTAGGAAATAGACGCCCGGGCTTTTATTTAAGGAAATACGGTACATGTATACATCTATTATATGTATGTGCCTCCTAAACTAAAGGCTAGTTTACAATATGACATTAGGCCAATGTACTGTCAATTTTTAATTAAAAGCGTGGGCGATTTGACCTTTTGACGCATGTTTTCCACTAGAATAGAACCTGATTCTATTCCTGCATCTACATAACGTCAGGACTAGCGTAATATTGTAAACCAGCCTTAAATCTAATGTTGTATAGATATTGTATCCTAAACTGTTAATGATTGATTTCATTTCCTCTCTCTCTCTCTCCCTCTATCCTTTCCCCACTACATCATGTACATATATGTACATATACATGTACACCTGCACATTCTTTCATACCCACTAAAACTTTCCCTATACAAATGTTCCCATACACTATGTACTATTAGGTGAGGGTCTGTGGTGGTGTTAGTGAGATTAATGTGGTATACAGGGTAGATGAGTTCAGTATAGAACTGACTGTGTGTATACCTGATAACTATCCATTGTCACCTCCAACCATTAAAGAAGGGAAGAGAGCTAAGGTTGATCTCTCTTTGTGGAGGAAATGGCTACTACAACTTAGCTCATTTGTTGCTAATCAAGTGAGTGGGTGAATTAAATACTACCCTTCTATGTTGTATGTATACGTACCGTACAGCCGGAAATATTGGTGAGAGTTTTATTTGGCAATTTGTCAAAAAAATGTGATTGGCGGTATTTTAATTTGGTGATTATGACTTGAAAATTATTTTTTATTAAAATTAGAAAATATTAATTGTTACGCCACGCCTTTAAATTAATTAAAAGAGAGCTAAACACGGCCGACAAAGAGCTCGAGGACTCGCTCAAGGATGATGAAGCGTGTGAAGTAACGATTGAGAGTTGTATTCAAGGGCATCATGTTTCTAAATCCTTTTGGACCCAAACAATAGGCGAAGTTTTGAAATAATGCAGCATCTTAGTTTGATTTCTTGTACTAGCATGATGCATGTGAAGACAAGATGACGTGATGAACAACCACACCCAAAATAGATTAACACAAATTGGCGGATTTTATCATCCACCAATATTAATTCCTCGCCAATATTTCTGGCTGTATAGTATGCATGTATGTGTATAAGTAATGTAATACCTGAGGACTGAGATATCTGCTTGAGGTGAAGCTAAGGGCAGAGACTCAGGTGTTACATTACTGATACTCCAGACACCATAGCCTATTTATGTTAGTACATATACATGTATGTTTGATACATTATTTTTTCATTAAAATAATGGCATATTATGTATCTCATTCTCTCTCCTTCATTAGAATGGTTCTATATTGGAAGGATTATTATTATGGAAGAGTAATCTTGATAAACATTTTGCTGGTTTGGATGACTGCATGATATGCTTCAGTATCATTCATGGATCTAATTATTCACTACCTAAAATGATATGTAGAACTTGCAAGAAGAGATTCCATTCATCATGTCTGGTAAGGTAGTGCATGTACATGTATTTTATTGAGTGTTGATACAGTGAATAGATATTACACTCATTTGTTCAGTTATTATTTATTTTATTATTTTCCTTTCAGTATAAATGGTTCAGTACTAGTAACAAGAGCAGTTGTCCTCTCTGCAGGAACATTTTCTAATTTATTTTTGTGTGTAAAATTTTAATTTTATTTATTTAATATCAGCAAAATTAAAATTCTAAGACTACATCAGTTATTTAAAAGTTAATAAAATTAATTAGTAGCAGCAAAAATAAGCTTTCAATAAAACAAAACAGCTAAATCATTACTTAGTTTAATTGAGAAAGCAATATTATTTTGCAGTGGCTTGTATTTTGCATCCTATAAATACAAACATTATTACTATATTGCTATAATCAATCATTATGAACTCACTAATTTTTTCAGCCACATCTTTTCGATTAGCTTCTTCAAGAGCTTTGAGTAATAAAGGCCATGTAGCAGCAGAGGCAGCTTGTTGTAGCCATTTTGTTAGCACTTCCCTAAGCCGTTCATCAGAAGTTTGGCGATCAGATCTAATGGTACTTATTATAGGTTGAATTAAACCTAATTTGTAACCAAGATTTTCCCATTCAGATGTGCTAAATAATGCATTGGTTAATGTGCAATAAATCTCATCTAGCTGCCATATATTCAAGTGAGTATGACATACTATATAAAATTAAGATAATTTATAATGGTATACTGGTATTATTAAATGTACCTTCACTGTTATTGTGTCTGGGAGCATGAAACCAATTCCAGTAACTTTCTTGTCCTTTAATAACTTCTGCTGATTTAGGAAAGGTGCAATGGCTTCTTTCATCTTCTTCGTCTATGACTAGACAGTAGCAATCCTCTGTCTCGGGACATTCAAAAGCAGGCACGGGCTTGCCTTCATCAACTCTGATCTTCTTGCTACTCTCAGCGATAGCTTTCATCACTATCTCACGAACCAATGGACAGTATTTTGCAGGGTCATCTCCAGTGAAATAAAGTTCGATGTGTTTGTATTTGTTGATGAAGTGAAGAGTGCCAACACATCCTTCATTTTCAATCAGAATTTGAAATGACATTGCATTTCTATAAATAAAAGAGCCTTCTGATGGGGAACCAGGCATCGAAAATTTAAGCGCTGCTTCATTTATCAATTGAACTATGACTGAGCAGAAGATCCCTTGAGGAACAGGCAAATTTTTGTTATCTTGGTTAAGCCAGACTATAACCAGTGGCTTTATATTATCTTTCGTTAAGGGTGGGCCATTATAACAGCTTAATGCAGAAGGAATAAAATAACTTTTTTCCCCTATCTTGGCAATAATATGCAGCTGACACAAAAGCTCGGTGAGATCAGACTTTAAAATTCCAGGGATATCGGGCAACTTTTCAAACAAGTCTAAGGTGAAAAGGCCCTTTTTAGAAAGATCTTTTACCTCCTGCTTTGAAATTTCTTCATCTTCCTTTAAAATTAGGTGATATGAACTACGATTGACATATGTCAGGGAAAGTAAGCGAGTGAGAGTATCATGAATAGTACAAGGATCAACAAACACTATGTCTGGTAAAACTTGAGGATAATAGAGAATAATGGTAACTTCGTGAAGATACTCTAGAGCCTTCTCTGTATCATCTTTATTCATTTTAAGGCGTTCCCCAGTAGATAAAACATCTTGTATCTTAAGGTAGCTGCTATTTTTATTTTTTGCCTCCATTTGTAAGAATAGGTCAAAGGCAAACCATCGAATTGGTATTTTTAACTTACGCGATACACAATTGTAGATAAACTTAGAAATTTCTTGAGAAACTTGACTTCTCTCTTCACCTTTAGGAATTAAGGTGTTGACATGGCATATCATTTCTGATTCATTTTCTTTGTAATAATAAACTTGGTCTTCAGAAGAAGATTTTGATAAATCGACTGTCAATGCATCATTAACTTCTTTAAACTCCTCATGACTCACTTTATCAAAATGAGTACCAAGAATGAAATGCATTGGTTGAGCATCACATTGGGCTTCTTGGGGCAGTGGTTTATTACTGGGGCACATGTCTCCAGAGCAAACTACTTTTTTGAAAAACTCTCTATTTGATGCAAAAAATGAATCAATCGGAAACAACTCTCCACGAATTCGAAAATTACATTCAAGTCGTTGATCAAGACCTTGAGAAAGATCAAGTGTAACGATATTGAGAGATGCTCTTCTAACAAACAAAGGGAGTAACTCCTGGAATGCTGGCTGACCACCAGAATCTACAATGTACACCCAAGATTGATTCAAGTGGATTTTTTCTCCACTTTTTATGGCTTCTAAAATTTTTGTATAGCAAGAGTTCTGGCTATCTGTTGAATCAGGTGCATCTGTTGCTTCAGAGCTTTTGCATTCCATCAATTCTCCTTGTTGCTGATTATTATGAAGTGAATCAACTGGTTTTGGATGTTTCCCGACGTATGCTGCTAAATCAGACGCTAATTTCTCGAGAAGCGCTTCGCTGCCGATTCTCTCCCAAGCACCCTTACTGCAGGAAATCCTTGTAGCTTTGACAGCACGGCAAGCTATTGGTGTACTGTCAGTGACATCTTCTTCAGGTGGATCTTCATTTAGTAAGAGACGTAAAGAACAAGTTTTACCAGAGCCAGGTGGACCCAGCATATTGATACGTTTGATCTTTAGTTCAACAACACCTTCTTTCAGCCATTTAGTAATTTCACCTAAACAAAAGAATCTGATTCATTATACATGAAATAATTATAATAGAATTTTGAATCAGTTTGATAACACAATTAGTACCAATAGCACTTATATTTTGTGGATAATAAATTTTGCTAGTTTCATGGATGGCTAAAATTTGCGAAATTAAATTCCATTGAAAATCTTTTTGCTACAAATTGTTCATTTTTTATCCACAAATGCTTAGCAGGAAAAATTCATGAAATATAAGTGCTACATGGTATTCTGCACAGCAAAATTTGCATTTCGTAAAGCATGAACATACTACCTGAATTTATAGGGTGATTAATTTGACCTTCAGCTTCCTCTGAATCAGCTGTCTGTTCAGTAGCTTCATTACTTGCTATCTCCTTGTTTTGCGATTCCTTCTGAAGTGACTCAATCCTTTGACGCAATTCTTCTAGTTTATCTTTCAATTTCTCACTTTCCGCTGTTTTCATATTTAGCTTCATCTCTAGTGACTTGATGAGTTCTTGAGCTCCAGTCCCATCAGCTTTGTCGCCACTTCCCAATCCTTTCTTCATACTAGCAACCATTTGCCTGGTATCACGTAAGTCGTTTAGAAGCCTTGTATTTTGCTCTTCAAGCAGGACTTTATTATGATGCGTATCAACAAGTGTACGCTGATCATCACGCAGGCGCTGGTGTAAACGTGATAGTTTTTCTTTTTCTTCTTTGTCAAATCTCCCTCCTTCTTCATCAAACTGGCGAAGGTTGGCACTAGTTTTTTCATCTGTCACTTGAAGCTTTTCCTGAAGCTCACGAATGGTTCGCTCATATTCTTCAAGTCGTCTTTGATTTTGTTGCAGCTCGTATTCATGCTTGTTTTGTAGGTTGGATAATTTGGCTTCCTGGTGTTCAACTATTTCATCAAGTAGCTCGTCGTTTGTTTTAAGATCATCTGATATATCCTGATCTGTTTCTGCCATCGATGAGTCATTGACACTAGACATTAGTGAGACTGACAGTAACAGTGAAAGACAGTACTACAGTACAAGACAGTACAGTACAAGAACAGTTCAGCGAGGGTGACAGTGAGTTGCTCTATACTGGAATCGCCTAGTCAGGCGGAGCCTGACTAGGAATCGCCCTGTTTCTATCTATATCTATAATATCCGGTAGACTAGACCTCCTCCTCTATGTATGCATGCATAAAACCACAGCCACGCCCTAGCCTCGGTTGAAAAGTAGCTCTAGCCGCATTATGGTACCCAGACCCTAGACAATGGTACCAATGCTATTATAATAATATGCTATACACGTTGGACAGGACCCAGAACAATGGAACTGTAAAGCAATAGTACCGCCAATATTCACCTGCACCACTTATAAACAAGATGAACCAGGAAAACCAGTAAGAAGAAAAATAATTAACAGTATGTCACCTACTCTTTCTCCTCTCTTTTCTACCATTTTATCTTTCTCTCCAGCCTATGCATGATTACATTAGGGAGGGTAATCCAGCTAGAACTGCATTAGAGAAGTCACTGGCAGCTTGTGAAGGAGCACAATATAGTATGATTAACTTATCATTATAAATCATGTAACTTAATTCATTTTAGTTTGCAAAGTTTTACCGTTTCTAGCAACTTATAAAATGGGTACATTTTCTGATACATATTGATGTACTTATGCTGTGTAGCAAGTTTGAGCTGATTCCGACTTAAATTTTTCAAGTTATAAGCAAGCTGTTCATATTCTGAAAAAATCCCTATACCCATGGTTTTTTAAATAAGTCACTCCCAATTTTTATAACATTTTCTATACATACATGTATATATGCTATGAGCCACATGTAATTCATTCCAACGTGTTACAAGCCTCAATGAATATCATTATAG